ATACATTCTGAAATCAGGAAACCTGAATCCTCTTTGTTCTTTTTTCCCCAAGATTGTTTTGGCTACTCTGACTCCTTTGCATTTCCATATGAATTTTGGGATCAACTCACCCATTTCTGCAAAAGAGCCCACTGGGGTTGTGACAGGGATTGCACTGAATCTGTAGACCAATTTGGGGAGCGCTGCCATCTTAATAATATTAAGTCTTCCATTCCAAGAATGTGGGATGTCTTTCTGTTTATTTAAGTCTTTAATTTCTTTCAAAGATGTTTTATAATTTTCAGTGTATAAGTTTTCCACTTCGTTTGTTAGACTTATTCCTAAGTATTTTATTCTTTTTGATGCTAACTGTATCTTGAAGTGTTTTCTTAATTTCACTTTTGAATTATTCATTTTGGGTTACTAATACATAGAATTACAACTGATTTTGTGTTTTGATTTTATATCCTATCATTTAGAAGATACTTCTGATAAGGTATAAAACATGACTTATAGGAATTCACTTCTTACTGGTAAAAGGAATAAACAAACAGATGTATAAACCAGGGATTTGTTAATTGTCCTGCTGAACACCTACAGATGTTGGATAGAAATTTATATTTAGCTATAATATGCTTGAAATACACACACACACACACACGCACACTCAGAGTAATGATCCATTTTTCTGGCTGTCATATTTTAGATAACCTGAACATTCTGAAACACATCTGTGAACTCAAAAATGATTTGCAAGAAAGTTTCAAGCCCTTCTGTCTGACATTTATCTTTTTCCTTTTTTGACCTTGCAAACTTCTTCTCATCCTGTAAGACCTAGCTTAAATGTCACACCTCCTGATCCACCCCCAGAACAAACCTTCTTCTGGCAGAACAAACCCTCCTGTTTCTGGGTTGTATAGTATGCATCCTATAACGAAGCATAATTATTCATTTCCATACTCTTATCTTTTCCAAGTCTGTGGCCTTCTTGGGGGCAGGCTCAAGGAGGAAGTCCCCACTTCAGTCTTTGCAATTCCCAGCACCTCAATCCACTGATGTCCTGGCTGGCTCCAGCCAGCCTGGGATTCGGTGACTCAGATAGCACTGCTCTGTTCCCACCTGCCACATCACCAATGTGGCCAGCCCTTTGTTGCCAGCCAAACTGGGAGCCCAGGCACTGGGGAGAGCATTCGATGGCTACATAGCCTCCTGAGTCCCAGCACACTGTACTGGCAGAGGATTTGGGACTATGCCTCTGCCTTTCTACCCTGACTCACAAATCTAATCTTCAGTTGACCTGGGAGACTTGCCTGGAAGAACAGTCCTCTCTAGGCTTGAAGGCTGCCCTGAGCATGGCCTGGTCAACTTGGGCTGGCATACAGTGGGCACTTTTGAGGACTATCTGCTGCATGAATGAACACAAGCCTACTCATTTTACTTCATCAGCCTCAATCTCTCTTCTCAGAGCAGTGGTTTGACCTTACACATACCACTTGGGTATCTGATTTCATTTGATACCTTTAATTTTGCTAGGGTCACCATCAGCAGTGCAAAGACTGAGACAAGATGATCAGATAACTGGGGCAGCCAGTAGTCACTGACAAGAATGGGGAGTGACCATAGAAAACAGAGGTGATCACAAGAGAGAACACAAGAAAAGCACCAAGCAGAGCAGCACACCCATGTAGGGGTCATTTAGTTTGGGAGCAAATGGCTCTCTACACCTCAACAAGCCCAAGCATATCACTGAGTGCCAAGGCCAAACACACAAGCAAAATGGCTGGTAAAATTCAATGAAAGAACAAGGCAAGATCCCCACAATTCTACAGCCCTAGAGGGCATCAATACGTCAAAGTTGAGTTCAGTACCATGTTCAAAACAGGGACCTGAGTCATCAAGAAAAGGTTACGATACCTTTTATAAAAGCTTTATATCAATGAAATGATATTCACTATACTTTATCAACAGGCTGCCAAGAACAAATACATTTTAGAAACATTCTTTCTAAAAAATGCAAATTTTCTCACTGATGTCAGAGCTTAAAGTAGTATCAGTTAGCTAGACAGCAAGGGCCACCTCATTCCCCAGTGATATCGGATGGCTAAGGCATCATGGCACACATAGACACACATCACTTACAATGAACCCAAGTACTTTACAGCTCAGGTATTCAGGGACTTGGAGAGGGCCTGATTATGAGTTTTACAGTAAGAAGTTCTTTTGAGAGAAGCAACTTTGAGGCAAAGATGGTAGCTCTAAGACAGCACTCAGATCCTGAGTTAGCCAGGTCCAAACCAGACAAGCTCCACCCCCTAAAATTAAACTAAATTTCCCAGATTTCTCTTTGCAGTCTGATTCTCTTGGTACCTTGGCTACTCATCCAGTTCCTGTTCTGTGGTTCAAATTTCACGTTCATGATTCTTACTACTCTGTTTACCTTTTGGTGTCTTTATTTGGATATGTGGTGGCTGACTCTGGCTTTGGCCCACGATCCCACCTCCTGTCTCTCAACTCCTGACATTCAGCATCCCTGGCTGCTCTAGCGCTGGCTCCTATCCACTTGATCTTGTTTTACTACTTCTTTGTTCTTTGCCAGGCCATGCTAGGAGGTCAAGGGACATCCACATAATAATAAATAAAGTACGTTACACTGGGCTTTGCTTAGCTATTTTGTACGTGACTCCAAATATATCCATCTTGTTTGAATTAGATTCCCTTGGGGTGGTACTTTTTGATTTGCCTTTTCCCGAAGAGAAACAGTATATACTGTCATTGGATAGCCATTTCATAATGAGGTATATCCCATGCCCAAAGAGTAAGATGGTTCAAATCCTGGCTGGTTATATTCATTCAGAAATAGAAGCCCTACATGTCAGATGTAAATGAAGATAGACAGTTAATTGTCCTCTGGGATCTAAAAGGGCAGACTTAGCCATTACGGAAGAGGTTCTCAAACTTTCATGTGCAAAGAGTTGGGAAGCTAGTAAAATGTAGATTCCTGGGCTCTACCCCTAGAAAGTCTAATTCAGAGATCTGGGTCCAAGAATCTGCATTTTAAACAAGAGTCTTAGGTAATCCTGATGTAGTTAGTCCTTGGACTACCCTTTGAGAAACACTGTATCACAGCAATGAGAAATCTGACAAACGTGGGGTAAGCACAGTAATTAAAAGATCCCACCAATCCTTCCTCTCTTAGAAGCTATGATGCACCTTGCCTAAGGCAGGTCACCTGGCCAACTCTTTCCTAATACTCTTATTCCCAATCATCACCTTGGTTCCAAGATCAACTTAATGTTTGTTTTAAAAATATATGTGAATTTCTCAAGTTTTCATAAAAAAGATATTTGAATGTTTTTAGAGTAAATGGGAATAGATGTCTAAGTTATAGTTTTCTCTCAACTGAGGAAGAAGTTCTATAAAGAAAAATATACGATTTAAGCTACAAGCTATTGTCCTTCATCACACATACCTTCTCGTCTTAGAACATCTCCCTATGATGATTTCAAAAGTCTCAAGATTTTACCCAAATCAAACAAGTAAAATATATTAAACTTAATAGCAATCACTGCTACTTTAAATAAGGAATGAAAACATCCATTTGATCCAGAAAACCTTCAAATGAGCTCTCCAGCAATATCTGTATTACTGGTGAAGGTATCTGTACCTGAACATTCTGATGCCCAGGAGCCTGGCAGACCAAGAACAGCAGCGCCCAGGAAAGATGGCAGGCTGTGCACTTGACTGGGTAGGCCATTTCCCTGGGCACGTCCCTAAGCAATCCTGAATGGGGAGCTCAGGAAAATCAGTTTAATTGGGAGGATTCTGATGGCCATAGGATGCTTTGGGAATCTAAGATGACAGAAGATATTGATGAGCTATTAGATCCAGGAGGCCTGTCTGATATTTGAGATAATGGGGCCTCCATTTGTTTCAGGATGATGCCTTCATTTTTGCACTAACATGGTTTATGGCTTGCAAGGGATATGTGGACTGACTGATGCAGACATTAAGGATGTTGGAGCTCCATTCTTACTATTATTGTGATATGTGTATGTATTTGTTTTTTTCCTAGGAGGATCTTTATTTTTTCTCCCAAATCTCATAACTGGTTATACAGACGTTTAATTGAGAGGAATGATTATGAATTAACAATATTTTCTCTTTCAAACTTTCCTATCTGAATCACTTATTGCCGACATTACAAGCATTTTAAATATTGTAAAATTAAAGTTTAAAAAATAAACACTGTTAGCAGGCAAGCTCAAGCCCAGAAAAACTCAGTTTTTAAAAAACATTAATGTTTCTTAATCGGAGTCTTGTATACTATAAGACTGCTAATTTACAGGGAAAAAAAAGGAATTTAAAGTCAGCAACAAAAGTAGTTGATTGAGAATGAAATTCAGGTAGCTTAACTCCATAAAGGCAAAGGGACAGTGAAACTCGGATACGGATGATCAGAGGTAGGATGACTTAACATGTGAGAATACTAGTTAAAAGCACAAAAAGTTAGGAGTATGTTCTGGGGAAAATGCCTAATTGGGAAATGAAAGCTGAACTGTTGACCTGGAGCTTCTGAACACTTTTATCACTCTGCTATGCTTTCCGTAAATAAAGCAAGGAGGACACATTTTATCCAGCTCATGTTTGCTGTTCAACTCTGACCCTTGCCTCCTGAATGACTTTAAATATGTGTTACGGAAAAAATGATACCACTTTAATTTCCGGCTCCATCCCCATCTGGCCAGAGAGAGGATAAATTAATATTATCGTGTTTTGTCTTTAGGGCTTCTGATGCCCCCAAGGACCAGCCTGTGGGACAGTCTGTTTTGGCAGAGAGTCTCGGCTGGAATCAGAAGAGCAGGATTCAGGACAAGGCCAGTTCACGTAACACAGCTCAGAGCCATAGAACACAACTTGCTCCGAGGATGTTGGGCATTGTGCTTCATTAGGAAACAAAATATAAGCTTTCCACACCATTAGGAATGACTTTAGGAGTGAAAGCACATAAGACGATGCCTCACCTCATCAACAATGCACTGCAGAAGCTGGAGAGGCTGCAATGGGAAAGAAGAAAGGAAAAAGTATTAGCCTCTATGCAATATCTTTACAGTGGAGTGGAAAGAAAAAATCATTAATGCAATAAAATATAGCAAGATTAATCAACAACAGCAAACTCTTATAAAAACATTGATGCTCAGGATGTTCTATTATTTCTAATGGTACCTAATCTAATACAGGCAGTTAAAGGTTTGCATTTTCTTCAAAATGCAATTTGCTAAGTTTAAAACAAGGCATTCAAGCATGCAAAGGAAGCAGCCATCAGGAAAAAGAAAAGTGAATTTTTTTCTGAACTCATAAAGCTTACCATTAAAGATCCCTGGTTTTTCTGAATCTGAAAAAAGGCAATATGTAATTAGCATGTCATAATCAAAATGACTCACTTGGACACATTATGATCACTGAGAGAAAATTATTGCATTGCTGGTGGCAATTTGTGGGCATGTGTTAACACAATTTACATAATGAAAATACACAAATGTTAATAGCTCGCTTCTCATTTATAGGCGAAAGTCAGCAGAATGTTAATTTCACACAACACTTTTTAGTACCCTCCAGGTTGTATTAGAATAGGGAGAAAAACCATAATCCATTTCAAAAGGCTGTTTACGATTCAGATATAAATAATGTTTTATATTGCTAGATTGTGAACACTGGGCTTAATGTTGCAATCATTGCTAATGTTATGAAGCTCACTCTTTTTAAATTAAAAACCGATTTATTTAAAATTGAAATTAAATCATAGTCAGAAATTAGAATTTTGGATTCCTGCCAGTGCCTGCTCACAACCCCTTATTTTGTGAAGAAAACTTTAATTATGTGGTTGAAGTATTTGCCTCTGACTCAGGAGTGGGTAAAGACTCCACCTCTTCCAAAGTTCCTTCAGCAGGGCAGCAATGCTTTCTGGGAAAATCAAATTCATGCAAGTTTTAACACTGGTTTTCAGGGGATAAGAGCAGAGTCAAAGAAGATGCCCGTTCTGGAGGCAGCTGCTCACACAGCTGACACCGATAAACCACATCTCTTAGAAAGTTACTAAAATGTGACACCAAATTAATAAAACATCCACTTAGTAGTTAAAGTATTAAACACTTCAATGTGTGCCCCCCAACCAAAAAAAAATTGCCTGCAGTTATTACAAACTCAATGAAAATGTCGTCCCAGGTACTAAATTTCCTAAGGAGGAAAATTTCGGGAACCAAATATAACTACTGAGGAGACAGTTGTTTGCTGTGATAACAGTGCTTCAACCAGCGGGTAAAATATAGGTAAACTAGTTAATAGTCCCTTATATGCTTTTTTTTTTTTTTTGTGGTACGCAGGCCTCTCACTGTTGTGGCTTCTCCCGTTGCGGAGCACAGGCTCCGTACGCGCAGGCTCAGCGGCCATGGCTCACGGGCCCAGCCACTCCACGGCATGTGGGATCTTCCCGGACCGGGGCACGAACCCACGTCCCCTGCATCGGCAGGCGGACTCTCAACCACTGCGCCACCAGGGAAGCCCCCTTATATGCTTTTAATGGTGCTTTTAATAGTTCTTTCATATACATGTTCTCATTAGATCTCACAACCACCCTGAGCTTGGCAGGGATGGTCATCTCTAGTCTATGATGGGAAAAACCGGGCCTCTCAGAGGCGGGCAGGCCCAAGGCCACAGGAGCAGGCTGTGGTTGTGCTGGGGCCTCTCTCGTGCTCCTTTCTCTCCAGCATCATATCTGCCTACAATCACAGCATTCCTTAAAAACAACTGGATTTGCATGTGTTTATACTTGGCATGGTAAAGTTGATAAATGATCAGTTTTGGCACGTGGCTTATCCTCAACTAGACTGTTAAGCTCCTCAAGGGCAGAAGCCATGTTTTTGCATTTCTTTTGCATCCCTGTGGCTGATCAGCAGACCCTTCCACCGAGTGCTAGATGTTTTAGAAAGTGCTTTACCATGTATTGTCTCAGCTGAGCATGGTACCCGCTCCTTCCTGCTCTTGGCTCCTCATCATGCCCTCCCCAATCACCACTCCCTGAAACTTCCATCTCAGGTTGATTGGCTCTTGGTCTACTTCGATAGTTCCTACTGAATGTTGCCCTGATGCTTCTTCTTGTTCCTCTAGCCAATGAGTACTTCTGCATAAGGGTCTGTGGGGAAAGATTTACATTAAAAAGGAAGACAGAGGGCTTCCCTGGTGGCGCAGTGGTTGAGAGTCCGCCTGCCGATGCAGGGGACGCGGGTTCGTGCCCCGGTCCGGGAAGATCCCACATGCCGCGGAGCCTGCGCGTCTGGAGCCTGTGCTCCGCATACGGGAGAGGCCAAAACAGCGAGAGGCCCGCGTACCACAAAAAAAAAAAAAAGGAAGACAGAGCTGTTAACTACCACCCTGGAGTGGTTAGGGTTTTAGTAACAAGCCACAGCATCTTTAAAAAATCATGAAAAAACCCAGGTAAATTCTCCTATAAGATATCTTTGGTGTTTGCTTTTACAGTTGGTCCTTGATCAACATGGGTTTGAACTGTGCAGGTCCACTTATACGTGGCTAGTTTTCATTAGTAAATACTACAGTACTAAATGGTCCATGGTTGGTTGAATCCAGGGATGCGAAGGAACCTCGGATACTTGGAAATTGGGGGCCGACTAAATTGTATGCAGATTAACCCCCTCGTTGTTCAAGGGTCAACTGTATTTTTTTAAAGTACACACAGATAAGCACCGCCTCCCCCAAACATTCTCAGTAAGACATATCTACTTTAACAGGAGAGTTACTTTTTCTAATGTACACAGAATTAGAAAGCTGTTTTTGACATCAAAGAGAATGTTTTTCATAAATTTCCAATAGTCAGGGGGATTACAAATTCTCTGAGGAAAACATGTAGCAAACATTTTAAGTGACATGTTTCAAAATGAATTCAGGAATGGATTGTGAGACACTGTTCCCAGTAACATGAGTTGCGTGAACTAAATGAAAATTTCCTCATAAACCGAGACCTTAGAAAAAGTTTCCATCCTGCCCTAATCTGTGGGTTAAAAGCATGGTTTAAGACAGCTTAAAACTGTACTATTGTAACACTTGCTCTTTACTACAAGAAAAGGAGAAACAGCAATATCAAAGTCTGTTTTATGATCTTATAACCATACTGTTATACTGTTTTGCCCAGGTTTTTAAAGGGAGACGCTGTTATCAGGTTTTATCACACACTTTTGATAGCAACATACTACATGAAATCATCTTCATAAATTTTGTATTAAGGTAGCAGTGCCAGTACATGAAATTGATTCAAAATGCTTAAGATACTCACTTACTTTTTAACAGTTACACAATGCAGTGACATATCTTCTATTTCGCAAGAATCTGATGATGCAACATCATTATAATTGATTCATTTCTCAATTAAATAAAGCTACTGTGCTTTTCTTTATATGAATGCCACATAGACCATAGAGTTAGATGTATTATCTCCTTCCTCTGTCTCAGATATATGGCCTTAAGTGCTATATTCTGTTCCTCTGTTAATTCCACCAGAAAAATTTAATGTCACGGTCATATTTTTCAAATTCTGAACTGCCATAAACTCAACTGTATTTATATTAGGCATATTTTTCACTGCTAAACTCTTTGTTGTTTACCTTTTTCAAGATCACATTACTGTACAGGCGCAGCAATCATAAAACAGATCCAGACAGAGTCAGCCTCCAGTCGTGGCCTCTGCTTTTGCACACAGTTCATGAAAAAGTGAAGCCCCTAGTTCTGAAGCACATTAAAAGTGGTACTAAGGGTCCTCAATATAAAATGTTAGCTTCGTGAATGCCTCTCTTTATTCTGGGTCTGCCTTGCAAATGCTTAGCTGTGAGAGCAGAGTTCAGAGGGACACAGTAACATTGTTAGGGCTCATGTACTGCCTGCACCTCCCAACATATGAGATGCTGTTTATAACTAACTTGTCCAAGTCCACCTTCCTGCCTGTACATTTTGCTTGCGTTGAGCTTTCTATGTCTAACTGATACTTGGGGACAAAGAACAGAACGATAATTGCTCCAGTCATAGGCTTTGCTAATCAGTCTCTAGAACTAGTAGCATTTTGAAACACTATTTAGACAAACCTCTTCCCTCTTCTGGGCATAGATTTTTTTTTTTTTTTCTTTCATCAGCCGTTAGGTTCAAGATTTTAAGCCACACTAACAGAGGATAGTTATGCCTCATTCTAATATAAGACAGACCCTTGTGTGTTTAAATGGGGAAGAATGACTTCACAACAGGCAAGCCTAAAAATCAGTTAGGTCTGAAATTTAGGGTATTACTGCAGTCATATTTACCTTGTATTTCCTTGCAAGGGCCATACAGTTGAGTTGGCAATTAAAAAGCTCCCATAATATGACTTGTGACTTGGGAAAACAAACCTGGAAAGGAAACTGCCAATGCAAAAGTTTGCTCATGGGGCCTCAGCTATTTAATCAATGACTCTGGTGATAAAAATCAACTTTGGAAGGCTCACATTACGCCTCTATCTCTATAGGGGTACTTTTTACACACACAGTGGTAAAGCAGACCTTGCTACCAGCGCTTTTATATTATATTCAGAAGCACAATCAGAAAACTGAAATGAATCCACCTATGTAACTTAGAGAAGACACCAGCTATAGCTTTCATTTTCTCTTTTACTCTCTGAAATTATGGCCTGCCCTGCAGCTCTTGTCTGAGAGATTAATGTGTGACCTGGGTCAGATCTTCCAATATCAGTTGACAAATTTTCTCTTTACATATTTACTGCTTTTCAAGCTTGTGTTATTTTCTCTTAAATAGAAAACAGAAATATAAAATTAAATTATATGGTTGGGATTTTAAAAGAATATCGTTTTTATTTGTTGTGCTCCTGGCATCACATTCTAGCTTTCAATGTTGAACTCTATTCTCTTTTTAAATTTCAAATTTTATAAACTGTAGTTATTTTGCAAGGACTCTTTTTTTTTGGGGGGGGGGGTCCTTTTTTGGCCGTACCGCGCAGCATGCGGGATCTTAGCTCCCCGACCAGGGATCAAATCCGTGCCCCTTGCATTGGAAGTACAGAGTCTTGACCATTGGACCTCCAGGGAAGTCCCAGGGACTCTCTTTTCAAATCAGATTCATTAAGCTATAACTCTGGCTAAATATAAACAGGGATTATGGCAAACTGAGATTTTATATTCAAAATGAAGAATAATGACCTAATTTTTTTTTTTTTTGAGATGGAAGGGACCTCCAAGATCTACTCATTTTGCTGTTAAAGAAACTGACGCTCAGAGGGGAACAGTGCCCAAGGCCACAGATAGAACCTGGCTTAGAACTGACTGCTGACTCACAAGGCTCCCT